CTTCCACTGCATTCCCTTGGTTACTGGTCACTAAGACCAGTCCAGATTCAAGGGAGGGGACATAGACCTCACTTATCATGGGAGAAGTGTTAAAGAAGTTGCACTCGTATTTTAAAATTATCAAAGGAGTCAGCAGTGGGTAGTTGGGAATACCTTCCTCCTGTTGCCCAAGGTAATTTCTGGGAGTATCCACCATTGAGATACTTTAACATTTTTCATAATGATGAAAATTATGGAGACATGATTTTACTTCAGTGTTCCTCTTTAAGGCTCATCGTAAAATACTAATGTATTATTTCTCTTCTGAAGCAGAGCCAAGAATTTTATCCCAACTCCTATATGGGGAGAAGAGTAAAAACTGAGAAGTGTTTGAATCTGACTCAAAAAATTGGGATTTTAAATCCACCTGTAATGCAAAACCATTCTTACCCAATGCTTTGTAAATTCTCTACTGAGTTTGACAAGATTTTATTTTTAGCCCAGCAAATAAAAAACCCATTTGAACTACCTCATTCTTGAATAGCCACATATTAAAGATAAATATGGGGCTATGAATGATATGTTGTCTGCTTTGTAAACTCAAGAGAATACAAATTTTGCAGCCCTTTTAATAAGCAATTTCTTTCCATAGACCTTTAATACTAGCAAATCTGTAAAGGTCTATTGCTGACCCAGATTATCCTATAGAAAAATGAATCTTTTCAAAGTCAGCATTAAAATTCACATTATTCAGGGCTCTCTTTTTCATGGTTTATCTTCGAGCATGCCTATGGGAGTGGTTTTGCTCCACATACAATAGTATCATTGCTGTCTTTAGCTCAGTCAGTCCTACGGTGTTATCCATTATACACAGGAGTGTATAATGGCTCAAATACCTATCCTCAATTTTATTTTTCTCCTTTGCGAGAGAGTCTTTCAGATATAATGTAGTTAATGATAGTCTACATATGAAGGTAAGGCACCTGATTCTTCACAATTATAGTGGTGGACTATTACTGAAGACTGAATCTCAGGGTAGACACATGTAGAATTTGTTTTAATGGCATCCCAATGAATGATGAGTTCTGTATTTCAAGCTAGTGAATTAAAATAGGCTGTTGCATTTGCATCTGTTGAAATAAAGTAATTCTCCTTGACTTAGTATGTGGAAGTTAAGATAACCATGAAAATTACTTAATATTGCTTTTATTTTCTGGTTCTCAGCTGGAAGCTTCTCTCTAAGGTCCTTCTATTAACGTACTTCCTACCATGTTGATTAAAAAGCAAAGCAAAACAAGACAATTCTCTTTTTATTGTCTCTATGTTCCTATCCTTAAATGGTATATAATATGTTTAAAAGTGTAGTGGTTTTTCTAATTGCAAAGGTAATACTTTAAGCAAAAAGGAGATAAGAATAAAAAATAACCTGTTATCTTACTGCCCTAAGATTATGTGTTTATATTCTTTTCAGTTAATTTCTCTACTATATGTATATACATATCCACATAAACACAAATTATTCTTGAATAAGTAATGCAGTCTTATGGTTCAAAATTCAAAAAGTAAAAGATTATAAAGTGAAAAATCTTCCTTCTTCAGAACCTTAACTGTCAAGTTCTCTCCAGAGATTTCAAAGTTCTGTGATCTTGCAGAGATGTTCTAGTTCTAAGTAGATTCAAATAATTATGTGTGTATATTTTTATTCCCCTGCCACCTAAATGGTGGCATAATTTTCAAATTGTTCTTTTTTTTTTTAGAACAGAGTCTCACTCTATTGCCCAGGTTGGAGTGCAGCGGCATGATCTCAGCTCACTGCAGGCTCTGGCTTCTGGGTTTGAGCTATTCCCTTGCCTCAGCCTCCCAAGTAGCTGGGACTATAGGCACCCACCACCATGCCTGGCTAATTTTTGTATTTTTAGTAGAGACGACAGTTTCACCATGTTAGCCAGGGTGATCTTGAACTTTTGACCTCATGTGATCCACCTGCCTCAGCCTCCAAAGTGCTAAGATTATAGGAGTGAGCCACCACATCGGGCCTTCATATTGTTCTGTGTCTTGTTTTTTCATTTAACTATCCGTGTTGGAGCTACTTATATATTAATACAAAAAGCATTTTCTTTTTAAAATGATGTATGGTATTCAATAAATGAATATATATGTACACACACACACACACACACACACATATAAATTCATTATACCTTTAATTTACTTAACCAGTTCCCCATTAATGGTTATTTAGGTTGTTTCCAATCTTCTCTTTTCACAATTCTGTGATGAGGGAATTGTGTGTTAGTTGGATAGGGCTGTCCCAACGAAGTTCCTTAGTCTAGGTGGCTATAACCACAGACATTTATTGTATAATAGTTCTGAGGCTAGCAGTCTCAGAGCTAGAAGTTTCTAGTTCCAGGTCTTTCTCATTGGCTTATAGATAACCATCTTTCTGCTCTGTCTTCTCACATCGTCTTCTTTCTATGACTGTGTTTCTGTGTCCAAATTTCCCGTATTTACAAGGACACCAGTCATAATGGATTAGGGTCCACCCTAATGACCTCATTTTACCTTGACTACCTCTGTAAAGATGTTATCTCCAAATAAGTTCACATTCTGAGGTACCATGGCTTAGGATTTCAACATATAATTTTGAGGGGATGCAATGTAACATAAGACACTTAGTATTTTGCACATAATAAGTGTATTTGGGGATATATTTGTAGAATTAGAAATTTGAAATTCTAGAATTTGAATCTAGAATTGCTGAGTCAAAAAAATATGTGTATGCAATTTTGATAGATATTGCCCTATCATTCTCCATGCAAGTTATATGAATTTACAGTTCTCATGAGCAATGGATGAGCATGTCTTTTTCCTTAGCATTTCACCCAACAATGTTATCAAACTCCGGATCTGTTACAATCTAATACATGAAAACGGTTCTGGACGTGGTTTTAATATGCATTTGCATTAAATATGTGTGGTTGAATATCTTTTCACATTGTTAAATACATAGTTTCTTTAAAAAGATGGGATCAAACAGCAAATATCATTTTGTAACTTGATTTTTTCCATATAAGCAACATATAGTGGATAGCTTTCCCTATTATTTAATATTTTTCTATAACAGGAAAGTAATATGGCTCCATACTATCTCATTGGATATCTGTATCAAAATTTACATAATTCCCTACTGTACATTTATGTTGTTTCCAACATTTTTACTTCCAAAATAATGCTGAGATAGCTATAGAGATAAGTCTTTGTGCATAGCTAGGATAGAAATGAACTCTTTGGTTTTTGTACATAGATTTTTGAAGCCAAATTAATAATTAAATAGTCATATTATTGGTATACCTTTTAACCTTCCTGTTTCCCCTATAGAATGTGCTTGCCTGTGATTTCAAGAAATCTACTTCTCAGCAGTTGAGGTTGGACTCAGATTTTTTTAGGCACTAGAAACCAATTTTCCTGTAATGAAATTCATTTGTCTCTGAAATCAACTGTGCCATGTACTATACCATACTGTAAGTATGAATGGATGGCACTACTATGACAGAGTAGGGGGCAGCATGGTTTTGGACAGTTGGGGTCTTGTATCTCTCAATTTACAGCCTATATTCATAAGACAGCAGAATAACAACAATCAACACTCACTGAGTGCCTGAAATGTATTAACTCATTTAAGTTATTCAACAAAGATAGGAGAACTAACGGGGTAAGGGACACTGTAATAGACAGCCATTACTGCAATAATGCTGTGTAACAAACTATCCCCAAACATCAATGTCTTACAATAACAAGAATTTAATTTCGTTTTGCTCATAAATCTACATTTGGCTAAGATTCTGTTGTGCTTGGCTAGCACTAGCTGAACTTGAATCAACCCCACATGTTGGATCCAAATGTATTCCACATTTCTCTCATTCCCATTTGAACTAACAGCTATTTGCAGCATGCTCCTCTCATGTGAACAGCAGGAATGTAAGAGGCAAATCAAACTGTGCAAGTACATTTAAGGCCTCCATTAACATTTCATTGGCCAAAGCAAGCATGTCAGAAAACAGGTTTTATATCAACAAGGCAGAGAAAATGTGTTTCACTTATACTGAGAGAGAATCGTAAAATTGCTTATATTCTATCCCAGGAGAGAGAAGAATTGGAACTAATAAATATGATCTATCATAAATACCTTTGAAGAAAGGATAAGGGACAAATTTCAGTTTTCATATGGAGACCAAAGTCATTTTTTTGTTGTTGTTGTTAACACTGTGTCTGAAGTCTTAGGTGGTTAAAAGTCTCATAAAAGGCCTTTTTAATTTGAGAGATATTTACATTAAGAGATTCAGTTAGGACCTAAAGAAGAGCCAAACATTTGATGAAACACGTCTGCTTATCACTGGTTATAATCTACTGAGGAAGAAAATAAGGCATTTACACAAACAATTCCATAGCAAGATGTAAGATAAAAGGTGTCCTTCAAAGACCAACTGTAAGTAAAAGGGTAGAGAAAACTATGTAATAATTGGATTTTCTTTGCGTGGTCTCCCAGTTACTAAGTTCTTTTGAAATGAAAAATATAGAAAAAGATTTCCTAATAGCTAAACTGGGAAACATTTTTATTTCCCAGAAACACCACAGATGTACTTTTCATTATGCAAATGTTGAGAGGAGCCTGTAGGAGCTCCACAGTTTTGGAAAAACAGATTAATGTGTTTCTTAGGCCTTCTGTCTTTCAACAAATTGAACAGTCTGGACTGTCAAATCGAAAATGAGAAACGAA